CATAATATCCATATATGTGTATCAATACTATGATAGTTATTATGATTATCATTTTTATTACTATTACATTATATTCATAATTTTCCACTCTCTCGTCATATGGAATTTCTTTGACTCACGAGTACAGTTCACTTTCGAGTATACATAGTATTCGCCGAAGGAATGATTTGTTGGAAGCCGATGAAGCTGATAAAATCGGTAGGTACAAGCACGAGAGGGCGTATATTTCCTTGAACTGCGAAGCTCTCCCATGACTATATTACATGAACTGTCCATGAACTATTTTAATCTATATAATACAAGATTCATGTATATGTCAATGTACCGAGAGAGAGAGAGAGAGAGAGAGAGAGTAAGTCGCGTTGACCAAAGCCCTTTATTCGTTACGGTGTTAAGTTAAGCGCCTTTGCCATCTATAAAATGGATGTAAAGTAATGCGATCGAATTATCGGATTACTTTATACATGTATATGTATCTAATGTCTTTATCGACTTCATAAGTTATTTTTTCTATTACCATTTATAGTAATTCTTGTTTTCTTTTTTCTTTTCGAATAGGAGAGGATATTTCTGACTTATCCAAATACAAATTTAAAAAGTATATTTCTTTTTTTACTAGTTGCAAAACAATTGAACAAGTTAAGGAATAAAAAAATCGATGAAAATGATAACTGTATAACCGTGTTACCTAGAGTCAATCGGTGTCTAACTTGGATACGAGGTCAAAGTGTAAAGTCTACAAATAGGAACTAGATGTACATATATAAACGTTTTGGATAGAATTTTATAAGAATTTCTTGAATAATGAAATATCTAACGTCCCTGTGTGCTTTTTCTAGGGAACAAGAAGAATTATTTAAACGTCTCGTAGGATATTTTTAAAAAGTAGAAGAAGAAAAAAGAAAAGAAAGAACAAAGGTCTCTTCTTCATCATTTCTAATCTATCGATTGAAGTTAGTCACTTGGAAAGCTCATATAACTATTCGACCTTGTAAAGTTACATGAAAAAAATGATCTTTCCTATGATCGAATTATCTTTAGAAGAAAGGAAGAGTGCTGAGGGCTGAGAGAGCGAGAAAGAGAAAGAGAAAGAGAAAGAGAAAGAGAAAGAGAAAGAGAAAGAGAAAGAGAAAGAGAAAGAGAAAGAGAAAGAGAAAGAGAAAGAGTGGGATACTGGTTTGATCAAGAGCCACGTGGCAGTGTCTTCTTTTCTCAAGCGGAAGGAAGCAGCAACGACTGGAAAAAGAGAAGAAGCCACGAAGAGAGGACACAGCTGCAAAACTTGCCGCTCGTGGAAGATTTATGGAAGAATGGGTTGCATCGATAGCATACTGTAAAAAAAGAAGACTATCGAAAAGGGGAAAAGGGTGGAGGGCTGGAGGTAGAAAATATGCAGCATGATAGCTAAAAATAAAGAAGCCTTTTCTCTTCGTAACTTTCTCTCTCTTACTTATTGGTCTAACCAAGTCAAAGTCTCGTGAGAAAGCAGCAAGTACTCTGTTAACAAAAAGGGAAATCATATACGTATAGTGAATCTTTCAAGTTTTCTCGAATGGATTTAGATATTGAAGCGTGTTCTTTCTCTTTCTCTCTTTCTCTTTCTCTCTTTCTTTCTTCAGAATCCAAAGAATGTGCTGGCTTACCGCGTGCAAACGTTCCCGATATGTATGCAAATGTTGCTCGAGCGAGTTCGAAGATCAGGGCTCGCATATTTTGTATTCTTTTGTATAGGAATCTATATTTCTGAATTTAAAAACGGTGAAAAATATTTACCAGGAATATTTAGAACTGTTTTACCACTTCTGTTCAAATATTTAGATAACGATTAATGTTTTAATATGTACTCTACAATTCCATTTGTTAGATACGTCTTACTTAAGACCTAAGTTATACAGGGTGGACCAAAAGTTGCTAGGCAACATTAATTTTATTAACTTTTTCAAAACCAATGAATCTTTTATTTTTTTTAATAAACTTAATATTTATTTCATATAATTTCATTTTATTCAGGTGTCCAAGATCTCTACAAAAATCTCACACTTGGGAAACATTACAAATTCTCACAGAAAGAAAGATAGAAAAAAACCACGAAAGATCATCACATTTTTCTTGAGAAAAAGGGAAAAGAAATGAGTTATATACTTACGTGAACCATCCACTTCGTATTCTATTACCCTACCACTATTCACTAAATCATTCAAGAAAATCCAAGAAAAAAGGGGGAGATAGCTTAATCGGTTCCAAAAGTCTTGACCGAAAACTTGTTCCTTCGAAAAATATCGTATTCTTTGTCCTCAACTAAAAAAGCAAAAAAGGAGAAGAAAAAAATAACGAATCTTTGACAACAAGCTAACTAAATTCCGACATATAATATGTACTCGTATATGATATACACATAGGATCAATCAAAAGTTCTTCAGTAGGCCAGCATTTCATAGGTGATTATAAAAAATTAATTATTTTTTTTGTTACATTTCTTATACTTATGTTTTTTCTCTCAACTTGTAATACTAAGTACATAATCCAGCTTGTAAGACTACAAGCATATTTAATACGATTCTAATCAATTTCGAAAAGATATAATTTATTTTGAAAATCATTTAGAGACTTTAGACCCACCCTATATATATATATATATATATATATCCACACTGAACATAACACACGGGGAAAGATTCCAAACGAGCTTCCTACGTGTTTCGCAGGTGACTTACCTGGAAGTCCAATTAAGTGTGATTCCGAGATATAAGTTGTACGAGGCAGGACGAGCGTGAGCGTTGTGGACACACGAGAAGGGAGAAAGAGAGAGAAGGATAGACAAGAAGAGGAGACAACAAGTGTGTGTACGTGTGTGCACATGAGAGAGAGCAAGAGAGGGATAGTGATAGCGAAAATTGGCTTAGTCATCAACCAACGTATTACAGAATATTACGAGACATTAACTGTACATTACTGTACTACTTCTCTCTCTCTCTCTCTCTCTCTCTCTCTTTCTCTTTCTATCTATCTATCTATCTATCTATCTATCTATCTATCTATCTATCTATCTATCTATCTATCTATCTATCTATCTATCTATCTATCTGTCCTTCTCTATCTATATATCTATTGTATCTATCGTTCTTCATCTCCCTTCCTTCCTTCTTTGTGTAGGTCACGCTCATGAATCATACCCCTACCTTTACTTCGTAGGAGTCCCTGACTTCTAGGAACAACACGTTCATGTAAATACACCCACGGATCCTTTGCGTCACACGCTTTACAATTGGAATATTCTACCGAGCTATATATGTATATGTATATTAGTTTACTACTACTACTACTACTTCACGTACATTCATTCGGCCTCGCCACCCCCACACTCAAGGTCAACGATCGGACGATTCTATGATATGATCGGAGAGTTGAAACTAAATGATTGTTTATTATAACTAGAGTTTGCATTGAGAAAACTTGTTGCACTTGATGCAGACTTTGATGGTCTGAGAAGATATTGAAAAAAAAAAATAAATAAATAAATTTTGATCTAAATAAAATTTTTAACATAACATAGATTACACAAGGATTAGAAGATTTTCAATGTAACAATTCTCTGTCAAAGAATTCGTTTTACGTATCAGGAAGAAAATAATCTAAAGAAAATATTTTTAAAAAAGAAATAAAAAAGAAATAAATAAGAGGGGAAAAAACACATTTAGTCTTCTCAAAATATCATCTACTTTTTCTTGTCCACTTTACGTTACTTAACGTTTTCAAGCTGTCCGAAAAAAGGCGTTTGGAAAACGGAGAGCTCAGCTTCTTTGAGATTAGACGACGACTATAACTACAAGCAATAATGTGAAGTTGTTTCTTCAAGAAATATCCACCCTATTCTAAGAAAAAAAAAAAAAAACAAAAAAAAACAAAACAAAAAAAGGGAAGAAGTTTCCTATCATACTCTTTCTCGACTCGTTTCCTTATATCATAGAAATAACGAGCAAGTTGCTGAAGAGAAAGCATGCATGATATAAAGATAACATAACGTGTTTGATAAAAACGTATTGCTTTTATGGAATGTTAAAAAGGAGTAGAAAGATGAACAATGTGTATGCGATACGTGTAAGTTTAACAGATCGTCTTTCTCACACTCTCACTCTCGCTCGCAACACTGATGAACAGAGCATAAATAAAGACAGACGTCCTTTCTTCTTCTACTTTTGTGGTAGAACAGCATCTGATTGAGACTTTTCTCTCTCTCTCTCTCTCTCTCTCTCTCTCTTTCTCTTTGGATAATATAGTTGACATTTTTGGTAGGTATATATTATGACATATTTGTGGTCGAGAAGGTCCCTTCGCTTTCTTTGCTTTTGCTTCTTCCACAACGCGAGAGACTTACAAATACGTTATAGACCTGAAATGAGGCTTGCACACCCACATAGGTAACGCGTATAATGTCGTGAGCTCACATTCCTGACATCTTTCTTAAACATGTTACTGGTTCATCATATTATGCATGTGTTTGTGAATATGTATATACGTATGTTCAGGTAACTCTCTAGTTGATTGGTTGGTTGGTTGGTAGCTGGTGGCGGAGTCGTTGCTACCGCTGGAAGCACGACAACGGCTTCAGGGAAGAGATTAGGTCTTGTCGCTTGTCAGCGCCCACGTGTATGTGTATATACGTACATACATAAACATGCCGGACGTTGTCAATGCGTTCATCCACGCGGAGCTGAAGCTTGGGGTGTCTAAATTAAAGTCTTACTCACACCGATAAAATCTTTCTCTTTTTATATGTATATATATATATGTTTGAGCGTGAATTTGTATCCGTTTAAATATTTATCCTGTTCACTCATTTAATTAGAAATATATTAGTAGTTTGTATTCCGGTTTTTTTTTGATAAATTTGAAAATTTTTGTAATAATCAATAAAAAACATTAATTCTTCTATTTCAGGTAAATCTTATTAAGATCGTATACGTTAATAGTACGCATACAATGAAAGAAAGGATAATTTCGAGAAAAGACTGAGACACATCACGTACGTTCCTAAAATGTTCAAATTGAAGTCGAAGGTCTACTCTGTGGATTCACGGATATGACTCAAGTCGCGTAAGTATTAAACGCTTAATCAATTCTAATGAAGAACGCTGTACTCGTAAGTTCGTTCGATTTACCCTTTTACTCTTCCCAGGATTTCTATTTACCTTAAGTACATTTTAATTCTTATAAAAGTAACTTGGAGAATGAGAAAGTACTTTTCTTCATATTTTGGAAAAACAGTTAAGAACAGGATGTGCTTTAAAGAGGTAAATACTTAGTGCTTTAATAAATCATTCTCATTTTACTGGGAAAAACTTATCGTACACTCCTTTTTCTAATTCCTAATCATATCATTAAAATACCTTATGCATTTCTCTTTTAGATTCACATTCATTTCTGTTTTCTAAGTAATTTCGCCGTATTAACGACAAGTTTTGCGTTCAAGAGTCACGCAAGGCTTTGTTTCTTTCTGCGAACATAAAAAAAAAGAAAGAAGAAGAAAAATGAAGGAACGAAGAGGGGTTGTAATGGTTGTATGGTGGTGGTGGTGGTGGTGGTGATAGGGGTCGTTCGTGTAAGCCGTTGTAAAGTGAAAGCAAGCAAGCACCGTTTGCGAGTTCCTCGAAATCGATCGGTAATTTCCGGGGAGAGGTGACTTCACTCAGGGATTCCATCGAAGTCACGCTTTCTCATTTCGTTTCTAAATATACATATGTAAGAATCCTGTGATATAAAGCTACAAAACAACACGTTTAAATATGTATGTAGAACTTATGTATATTCAACTATGTATGTAATTTTAAAAACACGTTAGGTAGATATCCTACATTTCTTGGATTAAATAAACGTAAAATCCAAGTTGTGTCATATTAAGGCGATCTCAACATTTTAACTCGTAAGAGCTTTTATAATTGACGAATTAGATCATATCAAGTTTTTCAAGGTACTTACTAACGTTACATTTTTTTTCTGTACTATGAACATATTAATCATTTGTATCAGAAACATAGAGCAATGTTTTTCAGAAAAACCTGAAGGAAAAGCTTGACTGCGACATGGGATTCGTTATCACCGGAAGGAACGTTAACTAGAACACTAATAAGAATATCTGAAGCACGAGCTTAAGAGATATTGGAATAATCAGAGGTCAGATGTCAATGCGGATGTGTAATTCCCCCTTCCGTATTGACACGGTGGAACTACACGGCAAATGTACAAGGGGTGTAAATATAACGAAGTTAATTAAAAAGGATTCAAAGAATTTGATGTTTTTTAACTAATCATTAGAATCTTTAAGCTTTCCTTATTAATTTCTTATATAAATAATTGATTATGTTTTATATTCCCATTTATATTTAAACTTATTTATAATGAAAATATAAATTATATACGCGAGTATAATTCTATTTATTTTATAATACATATGCGGTATGATTCGTTTCAGAGAACTTTACTTTTATAAAGAGGATTTTTAAATCACGTACAAATGTTCCCTCTGTTTGAAGAAAGAAACAATAAACAATTGCAAGGTGAGGGATGTCAATTAAAAGAAGAGTAAAAGTAAAAGACGAAAAAGGGTAGAAACGAAGTACGTTCTAGGACAGATGAAGAAAGCTCATATCAGTGTTATGAACCGACCCATGGTGTTAGGTACACTTGTGAACGACGGCGATGGTGATGACAACGACGATGACGAAGACGGTGTGCCGGTAAGTGGAGAGTTAACTCGGCTCAAAGTCACGAAACGGCACGAAGTAGCACGAGAGGAGTCGCGAAAGAGAACGAAGATTCATTCGTCTCGAAAAGAATCCTGCCTGGAGGCTTTGCTCCTATAGGGCAGAAATCCTCCTCCTTCTCATTATCTTCGTCTAACCTGAGAACTCTCAATTATTTTTTCAACGTCCTGTAATAATTAAATGTTCGTTGGTTTATAGCGAGGTGATAATATAATTAATTTCTTTTTGGAAAACAGTTGTTGAAATTTGTTAATATTAGTAAGTAAATAAATATCTAACACGATAATGGAATTCTTGTTCTTTAAAGTTTTTAAAGTTTCTTTTCTATTCAATTATAGCAAAGAACAGATGGATTACAAAAGACGCCATTTTGAAAGGACCAAGAATGCAGTCGAAAGATTAACCGCGAAGTAAGTAGAGTATCGAAGAGAAGAGAAGAAGAACAAGAAGAACACCAACAAGAAGAAGAGGTAGAGAAGAAAGAGAAACCTGAATGAGAGCAAGAAGTCGAAGACATAATAATCGGTGGCCTTTGCACGGCCTTTTCTGTTTTATAAGAAGAAAAGGAAGAAGATGAAGTAGCAGAATATGTGGAAGAAAGGAAGGAAAGAAGGAAGGAAGGAAGGGAGGAAGGAAGGAAGGAAGGAAGGAAGGAAGGAAGGAAGGAAGNGGAAAGAAGGAAGGAAGGAAGGGAGGAAGGAAGGAAGGAAGGAAGGAAGGAAGGAAGGAAGGAAGGAAGGAAGGAAGGAAGGAAGGAAGGAAGAAAAGAAGAGTTCGAAGACGCCGTCTTGGTCGTCGTCTTGGTCGTCGTCTTGGTCGTCGTCTTGGTCGTCGTCGTCATAGGTAAAGTTGAGGACAGTAGTAGTGATGATGATGGTGGTGGTGGTGGAGGTGGTGGTGGTGGTGGTGGTGGTGGCAGCGGCGCCGGCAAGAGTTTTGTAGCGGCATAGGAGGCGGGAGCCCAATGAGGATATATATATGCACACGCAATACAGCACACAGTCGACAGCCGGCAGTCGTAGGTAGCGGTCCGTGCTCTCCTTCCTCCTTCATCCTTTAAGGTAGCGAGGGAGAGAACAAGAAAAAAAAGGAGAAGAGAGAGTAGTAGTAGTTATTCTTCTTCTTCTTCTCTCCAATCGTTATCGAAGAATTTAGACTCGACTAATCACGAGTTTTATTATCGTTTTCTTCTATCGAGAAAGCTAAGATCGCATAAGAGATAGATATTAAAAATAAAAGAAACTAAGAGAGAGATATATATTTTACACCTATGAGAAAGATTTCATTGTGACAAGAAGTTAATCGTCTATGAAGATTCCTGCAAGAATTTTACGTTTACTCTCATTAATTTTCTTCTTTTGTTTTTCTTTTTTTAATTTTCTTCTTATGTTTTAATTAATTAACGATGACTGTTTTGGTGTTGTACTTGTCCTATCCTTCTCGTGGCCAGCCACGAGAATTAGGGTCAAAGATAAATGATCGAATTATTACAAAGGATTATCATCGTCGAAGAAGATAAAGAAATAAAAAGAATTGTTTTTCCCTCTTAAAAATTAAAAGATCTAATTAGTAACATCATTTAACTTCTTTATTCTTATTCTTATTTAGTCTGTTTTTTCTTTTATAACGAGTTCATGTGCATTCGTTTTTTAAGAATGATGTGTGATTATTGTATACGCTTTTCTTGTGTGCGACAAGAACGGATAGAAAAAAGGTGAAAAAGAAAAAAAATAGAAAAGATAAAAATAAATAGACTGAAATTATCAAAAAGACTCAGAAGAGGTGAGAGATAGTCTTGATCGTTCTAGATTAAAAGAACGATCGAAATAAGAGAGGAAAAAGAAGGGGAAAGTGTGAGATTCGCGTAGGAGAGCGTAGAACCGCGTTGAGTTCTCTCTGTAGAGAGTAGCCGAGCGATCAAGGCCCGGACACAGGCCACGAGCTCGCGTTCCTGGCTATGGGCAAGCTCTCAATAATCATTCGAAGTGGTACTCGTGAAAACGACCGAGAAGAGCCGGCAAAGCAAAAGCAACAAGAGCAGCAACAGCAGCAACAGCAACGCCAACAACGATATCATCGGCAAAGTTGTTGTCGTAATAACGCCAAAGTCATTTCGTGGTGTGCCGACTCTTCATCTGTGAATAGTAGTAGCTTGTTTGATGTTTGCGAAGAAACTGCTACGGTGAGATCCGGTACTCGAGGACAACCACCACGTGCTTTGAATGCTCTAAAGACGTTCCGCAACGAGACCACCTCTTTTTATTCGTTATTTTCGTTTCGTGCTACAAATTTTACGATAGACTCCGATAATAGTGTTGCTAATAAAGAATTTAAGGAACAGGATGAACTGTTAGTCGTTGGTGAACATTGTAAAAAAATTTCTTCTTCTTCATCTTTGTCTTCGTCGTCGTATTCCTCATTATTGAGGAAATCAACAAAAGGTTTATCTAAAAGTATTATCCTTGCTCTACTCGTGATGAGCGTTTTGTACGAGCCTACACTTGGTGTACCAGCACCGGCATCATCTTCATCTTCATCTTATCAGCTTCAACAACAGGTGGAAACCTATTCAAGATTTCTCGAATTCGAAGAGAACTACGAGGAGGAGGTGATATATGAGCCAACGGCAACGGCTACGCCAACTAGTGCTGGTCATTCTTCGAGGAACGTGCTCGGCGACGAAGAGCTTGAGATTATCAGAAGAAGCATCGTAGAAAGCCTCGGGCTTCGGAGGATACCTGATCCTTCTAAGGTAGGCGTTCTTCTGCACCCAATGCAGCACCATACGAGATCAAAATTATATCATATTTTTCGCGCACTTTATTGACTTGTTCAAAAATTTCATTTCTTTTTATTTTTCTTTCTTGTTTTGTTTTTTTTTTTTTTTTTTATAACCAACTATTGCAAATTAACGTTACGTACGTTAAACAATTTATTATCGTTATTTCGTAGAAAATAATCATTACGTATCTCTAGAATTTTTATTAACGTTATTAAATAAAAACATTAATGGGAGTATTTTTGAAAGGAGATCGATATTAACGATTAAAGTATATAGAAGTGTGTGTGATTTGAAAGTTATACGAGTTGGATTTATACACAGAAAACAAGTACACAATATCGGCTTCTTTCTTTTCATCTCTTCTCCTTTTCACCATACCACTACTACATGTATATATACATGTACAATACGCATATACAATATATAAACTATAAACTATAAACGCGCGTAATTAAAGAGAGAGAGAGAGAGAGAGAGAGAAAGAAGAACGTAACGGTATAGCTTGGTTAATCAAATGAGCGAGATTAGATAGATAAACAAATTTTGTTATTGTAAATAAAACATATTGCATTGGATCAATTTATTTTAGATTGTGAAACATTGATTATAATAATAATAATAATAATAACGATGATAATACTCTTTTTGGTTTTAATCGAAAGATCCTTTGTGTAGTAAAGAAGAAGAGAGAGTAACCGATTAATAGATTATTCTGTTGTTTAGTTACTAAGAATATAAACAGTCAAGTTGGATCAACTCAGCTATATCAGATTCTCTATAAACGTTTAAGATATTTTCGTACTGTCGAGTTATTTATGATCAGCATTGTTTGATGAAAGAGAATTAAAGAGATTGAAAGAAAGTTGAGCTGACTAATGAGATCAATGATTATAAAAGTGATCAAAGATTTATACATGTGTTTTAAGATAGTTATATATTTGGGATTATTTTTCAATTCCTTTTTTTATGATGACAAATAGAAAAAAAAAATACATATAAATATATATATTTATTTTAAAAATAGTTCTTTCTTAGGCAATTTGAAAAGCTTAAGAATAATATGACACAAAAAAAGAGAATGCATAAGTAAAATTGGTTGGTGACTTATTGTTAGAGTAGTTTTATAATCACTATATTTCAAATGTCTCTTTCTCTCTCTTTCTCTCTCTCTCTCTCTCTCTCTCTCTCTCTCCGTTTCTCTATTTCCTCTTCTTTTTGTTGTCATGACTCGCGACCCACAGTCCGAAAAGAACTTCTCGATAAACTCATGAAAATGATTGCCTCCGATGACGATAACAACCGATCTCGACGACATTTTCTTCTTCATTCATAACTATTCCTCGAGTTCGTTGATCGAAGTTGGCGTTATCTGAACGTTAGAATGAATGAAAAGAATGAATATATATATATATATATATATATACTAATCTATATACATATGTGCAAGATATCACTTTACAACACCTTTCACTAACATTTTTATTCCTAGTTTGTTCTTTTATTTTCATTGAAATATTTAAGGCAGGAATTAATGAATATATTGCTAGGTAGAAATTAATTAAGATGGAATGGAAGTGTCTTAGTAAATAACTTACTGTCGTAAGTTTTTATGTAATGATTAAAATCGATATATCGATGTAAATGTGAGAATTCTTATATAATTCACGTGTTGTTATTGTTCAGTAATTATTACTAATAATAGCATTGTTGTGTTCTTTTATCCTTGCAACAATCTTCTTAGTATATTGTTTTCTATACAATGTGTAATGGTTTTCATTATTCTATTCTTTTTTCTTAGAAGTTAGAAGTTAGAAGTTAGAAGTACGTAACAAAAATCTATACTTAAATTGTATATGTTATCATTGTTAAAATGCATTATTCGGTTAATTCATGAAAAATGTAGGTCTTAAACAAAATAACTAGACGTTTTAGGAAAAATTCTATAGAAATATTTTCATGTGTGTTTATTTTATTGATCAAATTTCATATGTTTAATGTGCGTATGTATACATAAACATATTTGAAACAAAATTAGCAAAAAATAACACGTCGTCATAAAACATTGACCGACTAACGATCTCATTAAAAGTAAATAAACAAACTAATCTTTTTACGAAACTTATTTATTGTCAATAATTCGAAGAAGTTAACGTATGAAAGATGATCAAGTGTTTACAAATTAGCATTAACAACAACATCTATCGAAGCAACATCCGTCACGAGATTATTAGATAATTTTATGAAATTTTAATAATAATCTTATAAAAGTGAATGCCTAAGCTTAATTAACACACATATACAATTATTACTTTAATAATACGATTTATGCATGTGCACATAATATATGGAATTTTGGAAATATTTTGTCGAATATAATAATGAGAAATTTAGCAGAAAACAACTTGTAAACCTACACATATACATTTTGATCTCATTATAATTTAGTTAATTTAATTTTTCTTTATATTTTTGTACTGTGGCAGATAATGGGTTACCACAGATCAGTATAGTCATTCAATGGTTCATGAATTCATGAATTTCATGTTTTAATGATAAGATATGTAAAATATATTATGTTTATTTATAGAAAAAATAATTGATAAGGAGAATAATAAAAATAGCGACAGGAGTTTAGAGAATTTGGATCGACATAGTCGTCGGGTGCATTCGACGCGTCTCGTCGAGGCCACTCGACCAATTTTATCGACAAAATGTTGACCGCGTTACACGTGTCTATGACACGTCGCTTTTACATACATACAAACATATATAGAATAACGTCGTGCAGAGCAGGGTTCGTTGGCATCGTATAAAAAAGCATTCTCTGTAGTAGACGACAATGACAACGCGACAACGACAACGACAACGAAAACGAATAGAAGGAGGAGGAGAATACATGATAGTAAAACAAGAGAGAGAGAGAGAGAGAGAGAGAGAGAGAGAGAGAGAGAGAGAAGGAGCTGTCATCTGGGAGCATCTGGATCGTTAAGAGCTCATAGATTCATGCGTGAAACGAGCCGTGTGACAGCGTGTATCACAGTAAAGCGTGAACAATCGAATCGCGTGTTCTTCCGATCATTTTCAACGACTTGTCTCTTTCCATTAGATCATTCTATTCGTAGGCGTGACAATTAATTCACATACACACAGACTTGTAAGTTTATTTATTTAATTGGATAATTTGAAAAATCTGCTATGGGTCTCGATTTATTACGCATCATCATTGTCTTCGTACGCGTCGTCAATTATCGCTACGCAAAAAGTAACACTAGAGTAATTGTGTCTTGTAAAAAATAAAAGTAAAAATTAATTGGTTGTACTTGTATATACATATATATATAATTGAAGAAGAAATACATGTAATATCATCATGTATGTGTGAATACATAGAGGAGATATATGTATGTACTACATAATAATCACGTTCTTTTGATGATATGCCGACACGAGTAAACATCTTTTCTCACGTATAAGAAGACTCGGCTTTCCAGATAAGCAAGCGACACTTAAAACGACCGGATTACTCGTGTCTCAATCCCCATGATCGTTATCTGACCGTACATTCCGAAGAATCTTATGTTGAGTCGAACAAGCGATCAGGTGGGTCGGGGTCTTCAATGCTTTCAATAGAAATTTTCATGCTTATTTGAATCTGACATCAAATGGCACAACCTGTCTCTTGTGCAACCTGTCAACGTAAACGTGTCCGTTCACATATTTCATTAGGTATTGTTTTTGCTATCTCATACCAGATAAAACGTTGTTGCTTTACGTTGTCCGTCTTATAGAGTTACCGATAATATTCTTGTTATAATTTTACAGTCAATCGAACGTGAAATCGTTCGTTCGTTCGTTCGTTCGTTCGTTCGTTCGTTCGTTCTTTCGTATATCTCTCTCTTAAGTCAATAAGAAAAATGGATATAATAGGAGGAGCAAAAGGTGACAAAGTGGTGACGCCTCGACGACATTTAGAAAGAAAGAAGGTACGTGGGAGGGAGAGAGGAAGGAAGGAAGGAAAGGTAGATCAAAGAAGAAAGAAACAAGAGGAAAAAGAAGAATATACTTTTAGTATAATGTCTCGTCGAAAGGTTTCGTCGCTTCGTTTCGCTTCGCAAAACCATCCCTTTGCTTTTTTTTCTTCTTCTTGTTTCTTACAGAAGCCACTGATGCACGACAATCAAAATTTGATGAATAGGAAACGTGAGAAATGAATTTCAAAAAAGAAAAATTGTATGAGAAAGAAAAAACCTTAATGTCGCTCTTCGTAGATTTCATCGAGTAATTTTAAGTGTGTCAAGGAATACGACTCGCGTACTTAAGAGACTCGCATGGCATGAAAAGACTCGTAGCATCATCTGAGAAAATGCGATCGTTTCGTCTTTGAAAATGAAAATTTTGAGCTTTGTCGAAGAAAGAGAAAGAACAATTTGGAGCACATCGATCTTTGATACTTTCAATTATCCTCGGTTAAGATCGGTACGGAAAATTTATTCCACGTTTTTTTTTGTTCTTCTAGTTATTCTTTTACGCGTTAATTTATCCCACATCATTAATCGACCAACCAGTCAGACATTATTATTTTTCTTTCTTCTTCCTTATATCGTATTTTAGATTTTCCTTGATTTATTATATTATTATTATTATTATTATTATTATTATTATTATTTACATATGCATGCATGTCTAAGAATCATTGATGAATCTTTTAAATGATGAATTCCTCATGAGTTTCTCAGAAATAGAAGAATATTTATAATATATGAGTAAAAGAGATATATGAAAATAAATGACGAGATGAGAATGTTCTTTGAATTCAATGAAAAACTTTACTAATCAATTTAAATTTCATCTTCTCGATCATTCTTTCACCATAAAGAATGAAATCTCTCTCTCTCTCTTAGATTTTTTTTGTTTTTGTTTGGTTATTGACCATTTCAGTTTTTGCCCCGTAACGGTATCATTATAGCTCT